ATATACAAAAATCAACATCAACGCCTGAATGTGCGAATATGAATTTTCATTTGATTTTTTTTTATCAATTTACATAACATTCATTATGAAATGTCATTAGATACGTTTTTTTATGACTTCTTCTTATATTGAACATAATGAATTTCATATTAAAGAAAAGAAGAAATATGCTGATGGAGGAACAAGAAAGAAAGACGACGATGATGAAGGAAATTAAGAAAGAAAAATTTCTTTATAAGAATGGAAAGAAAGAAAAGTTCTCAAGTGCGTATCTCTGTGTGGGCTGAAGCATACATATTGAAATGAAGGAGCACTTCTGTCAAATGATAATGATGATGACTAATGCTATATATGTAGCATTTGATCCTCAATGTTCGTTCAAATGTATATGGCACATATATCCATTCAATGTATCTATGCTGTTTCTCCATCCATACGCACGTTTTATTATTTTTCGATTGTCGATGATAAAATTGATGTCTCGTGTGTCTGATGAAGCACAACATAATGATATTCAACTCAATACATTTTATATACATAAAAACATGTAGATGCACAGCCCCAGATATGATATGAATATGCTCATGATAAGAATGTCGATAAAAAGCATTTGATTTAATTTTCTATTGATCTTAAATTTCTATACAAGCATAGACTGAATGATTTCATCATCTTATCAAAATGATAGCAACTGAATGAGGCTCATTTATGTAGGATTTTTCTGCCTTCTTCTCTCTTTTAAAGTGCCTAATATCATAATAAATATTCATGAGAAGAAAAGGAAAAAAAAAAAAATCTAATAAATAGAAAAGAAATGAAGAGAAAATGAGATTTACGGCCTTGAATATGAGCCAGAATTATGCTTGTACATGCAGTTATTGAGGACTTGCGGGAAAATTCATAAGAGCAAGAGTAAAGTTAAATATTATGTTGAAGTATGTAGGCTGCTTGAGATAATGTAATTCAGCTAGGAAAAGTAGGTTAATTGGAGAAACGGGAATAATGGTGAATGTTTTTTGGTTTATTTATAGGATGAGGATTGGTTAAACAATAGGATTGTGTTGAGATGTGTTGCTTAAGTATGAATATTATTCAGAAAACTTATGTCAATGTCGAAAACTGAATTTACCTTTAAAGTTGAATTTCATAAAAAAGAATAAGCTGAACTTATTCTAGGAAAAAAGTTTATTGCGTGATGTCAAACTGAACTCATCCTTAGAAATAAGCTTTTTGTGGTTAAACTAATTCTTTAAAACAGAACACTCAAGTAGAACTGAATGTATTCACAGAACTGAACTTACTTTTAGAGCTGAACTTATCCATAGAACTAAACTTATCCCTAAAACTGAAATTATATATAGAACAGAACTTGTCCACAGAATTGAATTTATTCGTGGAACTAAACTTATCTTAAGAACTGAATTTATCTTTAGAACTGAACTTATCCATAGATCTGAACCATTTTATATACATTTGAATTGATCTGGTTTCCTGAATTTAAATATTTGTTTGCTTCTACTAAAGATAATCGTTCAAACATTTAAACAAAGTCAAAATTTTAAGGCAATCTCTAAAACATCCATGATTTATTCACATTAACCTTATAAAATGCCAGCCTCAAATCCAAATTAAATTCTCTCCAAGAAAAATAAATGCTAGATTTCCTCAGAAATGCGCTAAAACGATTACCAACAAAATGATAAGAAATATTTCTCTCACTAATTGCCGTTATGAACGAAAGTTGAAGAAGCAGTCGAAAGGAAGGAAGAGGAAACTTTTTCTTATGGCCATTCTCTAATAAATGTTTAGAAATGCTTCAAAAAAGTTTTCTTTTTTACTTCCTTCTCCGTTTCTGCTACCGCGTGCTCTCCCTTAAAGTCCTCGAAACGTTAATGGAAATTTTCTTTTTTTTCTTTCTTCGTTTCCATTTCAAATTCATCCATTCGTAGCATTTGGTGATAAGAATCACATTAATATTCCCTCAGTTACATAAAATATGAATGATGATTATATGCCGACATTTCCTTTAGCTTATAGCTACCAACTTCTAGCTTACTGACTGTTATTTCTATTATAAATTTCCCGGGAGGTTTTTGCTTTCTCTCCTCAAATGAACCTTTCTGCTGAGTTAAAATATGAAAAGTTCTTCTCTATGCCATTATTCTTATTATTTGGCACTACTATTTGTGTGTGTAACTGAGTGACTGATAAGATGAAAAGAAAGGGGATGAAGCAAATTTTTATATTTTGTTTGTTTTTCTGCTTCTTCATGTCCATAGCCACATAATGTAATTAAGACGAAAATCTAACAGGATTTTTATGTCTGTAAAATGAATAGAATGACAACAAGTGGAATGAAAAAGTTTCTCATTTAATATTATCCTTTTCATGTCTAGGACAGTTGATTTTTTTTAATACTCTGAATGAATGTCGACATGAAATGTATGTTTGTTGAAGCTGTAATGAAATTGGGCGTTTTTTTGCGTGATCGTGCAGACTGAATGGCTTTGATACTCAATATGGTTGGTTTATTTTTATCTAGATTCAAGTTATTGCTTTTGTCTGCAGTTAATAATAGAATTGAGTTTGAAATGTGCTAGATTAAATTTTTATATGCCTTGAAATATGCATTTAGTAGCTAGGAAATGGAATATGAACTGATGGTATAGCTTTCTGCAAGATAACAGTAATTTTAGATTTGAATTTAATTTTGTTGAAGCCAACTTCAAGTCGATTGTGTTAAAAATTCATTTTGAAAGTTCTTAATGATGTTCAATTAAATTTAGAGCGTAATAATATAAATTGTTTATCATTTAACGGTTTTCTGAAGTTTAAATTTTGTAACGGTCGTATGCATTTGAAAGTATCTTGCCAAAAATTACCCTGTTTTTTCGTTATAAGTACTAGTAGCTTAGAAGAATAAAAAAAGTGATTTTTTTGGCTCACTAGTAGCTTAGTAACGAGTATTAGCTTAGTAAAGAAATTGAACTTCAATGAATTTTTTGAATTTTTTAACTTAATTAAAGAAATTTTGCTATCTTCTCGATTTTATTTCATTGACAATGTCATAAATCATTGAAACTGATACTTAGAAAGTTGAAAAAGATTAATTAAACTTTATTTTTGGTAGTAGCTTAGTAAAGATTACAAAAAAATTTCAAGTTCAAAAAAACTTTACTAAGCTAGTATCTTAGTAACGAGTAGTAGCTTATAACGAAAAAACAGGGTACGGTAAAAGCATTAACTGTAGTATAATTTAACGGTTTTTTGAGATTCAAAATTTTTCAACGGTAGAAATAAATTCGAATTTCTAAACGCTCTCATCACGTGTTTTTTCATATGAAATATAAAAATTATTAATTATAGTAGAAAAACACTGTTTCATGACTTTTAAATGCATTTCCCGAAAATAAAACAATGGACCTGAGCTAATAAAACAAACTAGAACTCTCTACGATGTCTAGTTAAAAAGTTTTTCTCCGCCCGAACGAACAGACAAAGTGAGATATTAAGAAGAAACAAGTTTCAAAAATGCACTAAAAAATCAAATTCCAAGACAATAAAAAACTCAAATAGACTTAAAAAACTTATTTCAAAATTGCCACACAATGACCTGCTCCATCTACTCTTTTCATTGCTCATCCAATAGTATAAGCCATTTAATTTCCATAAAATTATTCATCTCAGATTTTTAGAAGAGCAAAAAAGTTACTAATAGCGGCAAAAGCGGTTTGTTTTCTAAAACTCAATCTATTAAGTGTAGACGATGGTGAGAAGAACAAGTAAAGAGTGGAAAAAGGAAGAAAATTCTTTATTTTTATCTTTTCAAATCCCATCAAATTAAAGTACTTTAACTTTTCCTTCATTTAAATGTACAGAAAGTTTCTCTAAAGGAAACTTTTATCCTCTCGTCATTATCATTATAACATCTGAATGTATAGCTGTGGATGTGAAAATATTGCATAATCTAAGAAATGTTGATTCCGTTTTAACACAAGTATTAATGCATCGGAATGAGCAAATGAGGGAACTCTTTTTTTGAAGTATTTGTCTGCTTATGTCGAGAGCATGTTCATATGTGCTGCATAATGGAATTTATGCATACTACACGGTTGAATAAATGATTCTCAGAATAATTAGCATTAATTAATCATATTGCATTAGGTCAGTTTCATTAGTGCATATAGCTATGATATTAATGAGTTTTGACCTTATACTCGACATCTAGCACTTGTTTATCGATTAATTAAATATACTCCTTGTGTGAAGGTTAATGGTAGATTAAATTTGAGGGACTCTAGTAGATTATTTCCTGTTTGTTTAGTGGATTTAGAATGATATGATTTTGGGCTTTATCTCCCAGTATTTTGACATGCAAAGTTTATATCGCATAAGAAATTAGTTTTTGGCGGGAAATAAGCGAGCATTATAATCTTTTTGGAGTTTTTGGCGGGAAAATTTTAAGGTTTTTTGGCAATTTTAAGTTAAGTTCTGGTTTTGGGACATCCAACATAATATCATGCCTTTAAATACCATCAAATAGTTCACTAACCTCAACACCAACTACTAATCTACTAGATTCTCATCTGTGTGCAGCTCCTGATACAAATGAGCTTTTCACATGTGAATATCAATTGTTCTTATCCCATTTTCTCTTGTTTTATAGATGAATAAAAATCCTAACAATTTATTGTATGCATACATCTACGTGTTTCTGTCTGTTGAAACTATACCAATAAGTAGAATCAAACATGTTATGAGTGTAATGGATGATTTTATGCTATCAGAATTATTAAATAGTTTAAAATATGTATGCATGCATCAAATGCAATATTACACGAGAAATATTATGATATGATAGGATATAAATGAATGTGAATCCATATCATGTATGATATTTGGTACGGATGTTGATGGAAAAATGTGCTGTTGAGTTTATGAAAATTTATTGCTGAAATGTGATTTTTTGGAAAATTGAAACATATTTTGTTTTCTTGCAGGATTCGGCAATTTTGAGGAATTGGCAGAAAATTATTTTAATCATCACGGAAGCATTACATAATCTTTGCATTTATTTTAATCTTTTTTTGGGATAATCAATTTTTTGGAATCATAGGATTCTGGATTTAGCATTTTTAAAATGTATCTTAATCATTGTTAATTGTAGTAATCTACTCAAAGTGCAAGATAAACTTTTTGAATAAACTGAAATATATATTTTTTACATACACAAAATTGAAGATTGTATCCCAACATATTGCACTTTACATGTTATAGGTTGTTAAAGAGGCTAATGACTGATATTAAAGGTAAGTTTATATTATTTTATACTACTAAGGAGAGAGATACTCACCACTATACTACCGAGGATATAAGTTTGTTATTACTAAGGCCAGTGTTTCTCAAATACTACTGTGTCGCGGAAAGATAAAAGAAAAATTGTCATTAAGTACGACAGACTTTGAATTTTCATTTATAATTTAACGTATTTTTATTATTTGAATTCAGTTGGTAACTATTTTGAACTTACGTTCATGAGTTCATATTTCATTTCAGTTCAGTTCATTTCATTTAGTCTGAACATTCATTAATTAAACAATTCTGGAAGTAGATTAATAGTTGCAGGGAACTATTGATCTACAGTAATTTAATAATAATTGTGAATAATTGTTTGCTATTATTTAGCTCGTTTCATCTTTACTTTTTAACGAACTTTTAATATTTGAATTTCTATTTGAAATTCCCCTTTTTGTAAACCCAACTGAAAGGATGTGAACGATCCTTGAAAAGTTCTTTCTTATTAAGTAAGCGTCGGTGAAGCAAGACCTAGAAAACATTGTAGTAAGTGATATTTAAAGCAAATGATTATGTTAATTAATTCATTTTATTCTTAGTTAAAATCTTTGGCTCAAAGCTGCAATAAAACACAAAAATAAATTGAGCAAGATAAAAAAAGTGTTTTAGCCAATCATCGACAAGAATGTCTTGTTCCGTGGCTTCAACAGCTTGAGAATCATTGCACTATGCAGTGATTACTGTTTATTTTCAGTCATCAAGACAGAAATGTTAAAAGACTATCAGCCGTTTGCATCTTAAACTCTCTTTGCAACTCCGTAACTATGCTGAGTACAAAAATTCTCGAAATTTACCAACTGTGAACTCTGTGAATATCTTTGCTACTTTACATTGAAGTTAAATCATTCACCTTTCTATCAAAAACTTCCATCTTCAATATATTGAAACCCAACTCCTCATCCAATTACTTTTCCTCAACTTTCTTAGTACTTGTTGTTATAATTTATTTTATGCGTCATTAAAAATTGCTCAATATATGTAAAGACGTGCATAAAGAAGATTGAATATTGTTTTTTAAGTCAAAAAGGAATCATCAAAAAGAATCGAACGAGAAAAAAAAAGTTAAAAAAAGAAGAAAAAAATTTGAATTTTTATGAAACAAAAGCAAATATCTCATGAATAAAAATAAAACTTTTCATTCTTCTCATCTCGTTTATCTGTTTAAAAAAAAAGAACGAAGAGGAAAATTTTAAATGTAATGTAAATTAGTGAAGATTAATGGAGATCAATAAAGGATGTACGAACAGAATTCATTTTTCGATATGAAAAAGCTCAGCAAGAAATAGAGAATTTTTCTTTAAAATTTGAATAAATAGAGAATAAGAAGTGAAATTATTCATTTCAGAAAAGTTTTTATTTAGTTTAGGAATAACAAGAAGACTGCTTTTCTTGGAATTACGTTGATTTGCAGAATATTTTAATGACTTTTCAAAAACTTTAGATTCTGCTTTTAAGTTGAGATTCTGGTTTATTAAAAAAGAAGAAGTTTGACTGAAATATCAACTTAATTTGAATTGTTGGAATATTTAAGAGGTTTCGTTAATCTTTAAAGGTAGATGAAATGTGAGTTGAAAGTTTAGCAAAAGTCATGGTGAATGAAAGTTTTAACTGCGTAGATTTCAAGTTAATTTGAAGTTTGAAGGTTGTCTTTGAATAATGTAGTAGGATTCAATTCAACAAAACAATTATCACAATAGAAAGTCTATAAATCATAAGAATATCAATCAATCGATAAGTTACACCCAAACACTCAGTTAATAATAAGTAAGCATCAGTAAGTATAATTAAACCATTTAATTATGAATAAATAAAATTCAATATCCATCTGCAAGATAAATAATCAAGTAGAAATAAAAATATTTATAAGACATACATAATCCTCACTTTCAATACGAATCCATAGATTTGCTGACTGTCGATTATGAATGAATGATAATCCATACTGCAAACCTATCAAAATCCCCAATCCATATTGAAACGAGAAATGTCATTAAGGATAACCCTCAATAATATTATTTAGTAATGAATTTCCATCATCATCATTGATGTGCTTCGTCCAACAATTTTCGTACTCTCCATTCTCATTCATTTCAATTCAATGAAACCTCATTAATACTTTAAAATTGACTTCATTCCCATTTAGAAAAGAAAATGTGAAATAATGAAATCGACAATCTGAGAGAAAGGAATAAAAAGAAGAGGAAGAAATGAAGCTAATGATGATGGTAGCAACTTTTTTTACTCATCATCGAACAAAACGAAAAGATGCGGACAGAAAAAGTTCTTCATTCGACATTTGCTAGCTGATTTTTATGTAGGAAAGGCTCATTGATGCTTTGGGTGTCTAAGGCTGTGGTCATTTTTGTTGAAAGTTTCGCATGTACAAGAGTTGATACTGCAGATTGAATTTCCTACTGAACTGATGTGGATCGGTGGTCTTCAATAATTCAACAGGCAGTAAGTTCATTAATGAGTTGTTTTTTATTCCACCTTAGGAATGAGTCTAGTAGCTTGGTCAATCTTCACTTGTTTCCCTATCATTAGCTTCAAAAAGCTCTAGCACAGCATCTATATAAATGCGTTCTAGCTCATTCCTAACCCAAACTAGCTTTTAGTTCCCAATTTTCTCTAATAAAACAGCAAAAACATTCGCATCCAAAATAAGGCAGAGAAAAAAAATATCTGATTTTGATTAATTATCGTCAGAGAAGAAAGTGTCGAATAAGGAACGTCTGCATAAAATAAGGAATAACTAAGTTCTGATCGTAGGCATTGAATGAAAAGGCGAACGTGTCGAAAAAGGTATTGTAGTAGTAACAATAGCTGTGATTATTGTTGTTGTCAATAATAATAAAATTCAATGTAAAACTTTGTGTATGTGTGTGACTTATTCGTTGCTCTGTCATTTATCATAACGCCATAAATTAGTTATTAATGTTTTTTTTTCTACGTCGTGTCTGCTGCTGTATGTAGCATTCTATTCTGTTTTGAACGGAATTTTCTCTATAATTGAGTTTGACAAAAAAGGATTATTAAATTGTTGGTGTTGATGGAAAAATCGCTTTTACATCCTTCCTTCCTTTCAGCTTTGCTTTTATCTTCTTTTGTTGACGGAATGTGAGCAGTGGGAGAAATTCAGTATTGATAATAATGGCACATATTGATTTTGGTAATTTTAATTCTTTTTAGTTCAAGCAATAAAAATTTTTTATCACAATCACTTTGAGGACAATGTAGGAGATGGAAAAAGGTAGAACCAATTTTTTTTGACACAGATCACATTTTTACTTCTTATTTAATCATTTTTTTCATGCTGGGATTTTTTTTTTTCTAATAAGATTGGTGCTGAATGTGAAAAACATTTACTTAAGGTCGTTAAGGATTCCGATGACAGTTTTCATACTTTTTCTTATAAGCAACAAAATATGATTTTCTGTTTCGTTTGTTGCAATAGAATGGAAGAAAAATAATTGATTCCAAGAAGGGACTAACATTTATAAGTTGTTGACAAACATTTTAGTCAAGATCGTCAAACAAAATCATTAGAAATGCACAGTAAAATTTATAAAGTCTATAGTGTTGGAGCAAAATGGAAGCTGGGATATGAGTCATATGGAGGTGATTCTGGCATTTCGAGATTAAGGCTTCTGTGGCCGAGTTGAGTAAGAAACACACTGGATATCTGTAATCTTGTTTTATGAGAACGTGGGTTCAACTCTCATCAGAGACAGATCTCTCAATCATTATATAAAGTGCTGTCGATATTACAAAGAAGAATGTCATTTTAAAGATCACGACAAAAAAAAAACAATCCTTGGCTTTGACATCGAATTAATATTGACTTAGTCCTCCAGTTTATCTCTCTCTCTCTCTCCCTCACCACCAGCCAAAAAGTCAAAATGTTGAAACAAAAAATTTAAGCACGCCGTCGAGAAATCCAAACAAAAAAAAAATATTCAACTGAAAAAAAGTCTTTTTTCTATCCAACATCAACATTTTAAAAATTCCTTTTGAAATTCCAATTCAATGTGTATCAAACAGCGACACGACATTCTTTTTCCCACGATGTAAAATTGCGAAATAAATTTTAAATGGAATGAGTTGATGGAGGAGCGATGAGAAATTCAAATAAATAGAAAAGAAGAACAGAACCTACATAAAGGTTCGCAGAAAGAAGGAAAGATTGTGCGCAGTTGTTGAAAAAGAATTTCTTTTACTTCTCGTTGTCTCAAAACAAAAAAAAGAAAGAAAGAAATTCGAATTGCCGATGAGCTTACGATAGGAAAAAGAAGGCACAAAAAAAGACAATAGCTGAGAATTTATTTTTGGAAAATTGCTTTGGCACAAGAAATTCTTCATACCCTCACTCCCCACTTCTGTCCTATTGATTATTTTTTTCTTTTTCTCTTTTCCGTTGTGTCTTTATGGCTTTTTAAGTCTCATCTTCATTTTTATTAGTAAAAGGTGACTTTCGCATGAGAGATTTCTTCCTCTATTGCCTGCATAAAAACTTCCTGTAACATTTTTCTTGATGCTGATACTGCTACTGATGTGCTTTGTTCTGTGCTTGTACAGCACAAAGAGTCAGGGAGAAAAATCTCATTACATTGTCAATGATAATGCATCTCAAGGGATTTTTAATCAGCACAAGAGCTTTTATATTTCTGGAGAACAAGCTTTTTAGTGGAATTTCTCATGGGAAATTCATCTGATACCATTGTCGTTTTGTCCATTTGGAGGAATCTTTTTTTTATAGCTTTTAATTTATTGTGCTTAATACTGCATTTGGTGTGCTGGTATGTATTTTAGGATTGGTTGTATTGATCGTTAATTGAAAGGGTTCTGGTGGGGTGTCATTGGATTTTTCAAAGAGAAT